CACTTCCTGTTAGAGGGTGACAACGCTCTGTCCTTGTCTGACAAATGTGCTCCTGTGTTGTCACCCTCGTCACATGGGCTTCCACTAGATTCTTCCATGGAGGACACTTCCTGTTATAGGGTGACAACGCTCTGTCCTTGTCTGACAAATGTGCTCCTGTGTTGTCACCTCGTCACATGGGCTTCCATTAGATTCTTCCATGGAAGACACTTCCTGTTAGAGGGTGACAACGCTCTGTCCTTGTCTGACAAATGTGCTCCTCTGTTGTCACCCCCGTCACATGGGCTTCCACTAGATTCTTCCATGGAGGACACTTCCTGTTAGAGGGTGACAACGCTCTGTCCTTGTCTGACAAATGTGCTCCTGTGTTGTCACCCTCGTCACATGGGCTTCCACTAGATTCTTCCATGGAGGACACTTCCTGTTATAGGTGACAACGCTCTGTCCTTGTCTGACAACTGTGCTCCTGTGTTGTCACCTCGTCACATGGGCTTCCACTAGATTCTTCCATGGAGGACACTTTCCTGTTATAGGGTGACAACGCTCTGTCCTTGTCTGACAAATGTGCTCCTGTGTTGTCCACCCAACCCGTCACATGGCTTCCACTAGATTCTTCCATGGAGGACACTTCCTGTTATAGGGTGACAACGCTCTGTCCTTGTCTGACAAATGTGCTCCTGTGTTGTCAACCCCCGTCACATGGGCTTCCACTAGATAATCTTCCATGGAGGACACTTCCTGTTATAGGGTGACAACGCTCTGTCCTTGTCTGACAAATGTGCTCCTGTGTTTCACCACCTCGTCACATGGGCTTCCATTAGATTCTTCCATGGAAGACACTTCCTGTTAGAGGGTGACAACGCTCTGTCCTCCCCCCAGCTGCTCCCAGACCACCACCGCTCTGTTTTTCTGAATCCTGCAAAAGTAACTCCCTACAATATTGCGGGACACCCAGCTCTGTCCTCCCTGCCGGACAACGCAGATTCCTGGGACAAGGGTTTGTGGAGGCACTGTGAGAAGCCTGCTGAATCTGCCGCCCATCCACTTTATTACACAGATGAAAGGAATTTGGACTTTCTGGTGCTGGCGCAGTGCGGCGTTCTCAGACGTTCCCACTGTTGTCACACACGAGGTCCGGAGATCGACATTTCTAGAACATCCCCTCCCCCCCCCCCCCCCAAGATGTTCTGCAGCAGCTGCGCCGCTCCTCCTCCCATCCCACCAATGGCAGCGCAGTGTTTAGCCAGATTTACCATTTAGGTCAGGCGGTGTTCTCACACCTCCAGCTCCCAGCGAAATGTTCATTATGATAAATGTGCGCACAGACAACGCCGCCGCCGCCGCGCGCGCCAACATCCGACCGGCCTTAAATAAAACTTATTCCGTGGAGAGCGCCGGGGGGGGGGGGAGGGGGTCTGCGCCGGGGGGGGGTCTGCGCCGGGGGGGGGTCTGCGCCGGGGACCCTGACAGCGGTAAAAGCATAATGGATCCTGGCAGGAAGGGGCTCTGCAATATTTATCATGGCTCTTCACCGGCGGCAATCTCTGAGCCGCGCACGTTCCCCGCCTCACCCGCCGCCGGGGCGCCCTGAGCGCTCCAGACTGAAACATCAAATGTTGGGGCCACCGGGGGCCACCGATGAAAAAACACCTTTTATTAGGAAAACAGACATTTAAAAAAATAGCCCCTCAGTGCTCCCCCACCCAGTGTGCCCCCATCCCCCGCCCTGTGCTCAGTCCTCCCCCGCCCAGTGCACCCCATCCCCCCGCCCTGTGCTCAGTCCTCCCCCGCCCAGTGCCCCCCATCCCCCCGCCCTGTGCTCAGTCCTCCCCCGCCCAGTGCGCCCCCATCCCCCAGCCCTGTGCTCAATCCTCCCCACCCAGTGTGCCCCCATCCCCCGCCCTGTGCTCAGTCCTCCCCCCCGCCCAGTGCACCCCCATCCCCCCGCCCTGTGCTCAGTCCCTCCCCCGCCCAGTGCGCCCCCCATCCCCCCCGCCCTGTGCTCAGTCCTCCCCCACCCAGTGCGCCCCCATCCCCCAGCCCTGTGCTCAATCCTCCCCCACCCAGTGCGCCCCCATCCCCCCCGCCCTGTGCTCAGTGCTCCCCCATCCTCCCCCGCCCTGTGCTCAGTCCTCCCCGCCCCAGTGCGCCCCCCTCGACCCGCCCTGTGCCAGTCCTCCCCCGCTCAGTGCGCCCCCATACCCCCCCGCCCCCAGTATAAAGGACATTTTACCAGTCCAACCATTACATCTGAGGACATTCCAGTCCGGACACTTTCACCCCCTTCCAGTCCGGACACTTCACCCCCCCCCCCCTTCCAGTCCGGACACCTCGGACACAACCCCCTTCCAGTCCCCTTTTCTTCCAGTCCGGACACTTTTCCCCCCCTTCCAGTCCGGACACTTTCCCCCCCTTCCAGTCCGGACACTTCCCCCCCCCCCCCTTCCCAGTCCGGACACTTTACTTCCCCCCCCCCCTTCCAGTCCCGACACTTTCCCCCCCCTTCCAGTCCGGACACTTTCCCCCCTTCCAGTCCGGACATACACTTCCCCCCCCCCTTCCAGTCCGGGACACTTTCCCCCCCCCTTCCAGTCCGGACACTTCCCCCCCCCCCCCCCCCTTCCAGTCCGGGACACTTCCCCCCCCCCTTCCAGTCCGGACACTTCCCCCCCCCTTCCAGTCCGGACACACTTTCCCCCCCTTCCAGTCTGGACACTTCCCCCCCCCCCCCCCTTCCAGTCCGGACACTTTCACCCCCTTCCAGTCTGGACACTTCCCCCCCCCCCTTCCAGTCCGGACACTTCCCCCCCCCCTTCCAGTCCGGGACACTTCCCCCCCCTTCCTGGACACTTTCCCCCCCCCCTTCCAGTCCGGACACTTTCCCCCCTTCCAGTCTCTTTCCCCCCCCCTTCCAGTCCGGACACTTCCCCCCCCCCAGTCCAGTCACCCCGGACACTTTCCCCCCCCCCCTTCCAGTCCGGACACTTTCCCCCCCCAGTCCGGACACTTTCCCCCCCTTCCAGTCCGGACACTTCCCCCCCCCCTTCCAGTCCGGACACTTCCCCCCCCCCCTTCCAGTCCCGGACACTTTCCCCCCCCCTTCCAGTCCGGACACTTTCCCCCCCCCCTTCCAGTCCGGACACATTTTTCCCCCCCCCCACTTTCCAGTCCTGGACACTTTTCCCCCCCCCCCCTTCCAGTCCGGACACTTTCCCCCCCCCCCCCCCCTTCCAGTCCGGACACTTTCCCCCCCCCCCTTCCAGTCCGGACACTTTTCCCCCCCCCCCCCCCCCCCCCAGTCCGGACACTTTCCCCCCCCCTTCCAGTCCGGACACTTTCCCCCCCCCCTTCCAGTCCGGACACTTTCCCCCCCCCCCTTCCAGTCCTGGACACTTCCCCCCCCCCCCCCTTCCAGTCCGGACACTTTCCCGGACCCCCCCCCCCACTTTCCCCCCCCTTCCAGTCTTCCAGTCCGGACTTTTCCAGTCGGACATTTTCCCCCCCCCCCCTTCCAGTCCGGACAGTTTCCCCCCCCCCCCTTCCAGTACGGACACTTTCACCCCTTGCAGTCCGAAAAACGCAGCTAAACACTAATGCAGAAATGCTAAGTAAACCAGTCGAAATGCTCACATTTTTCACCTGACTTTACACACTAATGCCGGCCATACATGGGTCGAAATTTGACCGATTTTTCATCCAAAAATTGGACCTAAGAATAATTGGTCAATTTTCGCTGTTAGTGAGTCAATGGCACGGACGATTTTTTTGTGGTTCTTCCCCTTTTCGGTGATCGGGCATGTTGGAAAATTTGTGAAAAACAACCGATTTTCTACTCAATGATGGTCAATTCATACGATCGTTTTTCTGAAAAGAATCTGCGCCATGAGCCACGACCTGGAAGGAACAGAAGTTTCTCCTGTTATATGGGGTGAACTTTATGACTCGGTCGGCCGATTTTCGAAATCATTGATAGCGCCATCGGATTACCGAGCGAACGATGTTTTAGATTTTTGGACAAAAAAGCGGTCAGAATTCGACCCGTGTGTGGCCTGCATAATGTTACCAGTGTTATTAAAATGCCCCCCCCAGTGTGCATGGAGCCTTAAAGTGGTTGTTGATCCTGCCATATCCCCAGAGAGTTGACCAGCCTCACGTGAGTGTAATCTGAGACCTGAGTGGAGGGAAAGGACACACACACTCTTACAGTCTCAGAGGGAAACATGTACAGCTGAGGCTGTCAACCACCTGTTGTGCGCTGGAGCTCCCTCCCCCCATTCCCCTGGATCCCTTGAAGTCTGTATAACCTTGCTCATGCAGAGGAAGGAGGCAGCAGACAGAGATGACACTCGGTGCTCTGGACTGAGACAAGGACACACTATAGAGGGATGTGCTTTGTTCAGATTTCATGTCTGAGGGTTACAACCGCTTTAGGCCCGGGTTCACACTAATGCGGTGCAGCACACCACACGTGATTCTCATAGGAACTGCGCACCGCATTCCTGTGCAAATCGCATGCGATGTCTGTGTGGTGTGTATGGCTCCAATCGCATCGCATCCCCACCAAAGAGGTGCTGGACCCTTTTTTTCCCTCACTTGGATCTCATTGCATGGGTTTTCACACCTGTGCAATGCACATTCTTGTAAGGGGAGGAGCTGATATACCTGTGCAAAACTGAAGGGGAGGAGCCGGTACACTTGTGCAAGACTGCAAAGGGGAGGAGCCGGTACACCTGTGCAAGACTGAAGGGGAGGAGCCGATACACCTGTACAAGACTGAAGGGGAGGAGCCGGTACGCCTGTGCAAGACTGAAGGGGAGGAGCCGGTACGCCCTGCGCAAGACTGAAAGCCGGAGGAGCTGCTACACCTGCGCAAGACTGAAGGGGAGGAGTCGGTACACTTGTGCAAGACTAAAGGGGAGGAGCCAGTACACCTGTGCAAGTCTGAAGGGGAGGAGCCAGTACACCTGTGCCAGACTGAAGTGGAGGAGCCAGTACACCTGTGCAAGACTGAAGGAGAGGAGCTGATACACCTGTGCAAGACTGAAGGGGAGGAGCCGGTACACCTGTGCAAGAGTGAAGGGGAGGAGCCGGTACACCTGTGCAAGAGTGAAGGGGAGGAGCAGGTACACCTGTGCAAGACTGAAGGGGAGGAGCCGGTACACCTGTGCAAGACTGGAGGTGAGGAGTCGGTACACCTGTGCAAGACTGAAGGGGAGGAGCCGGTACATCTGTGCAAGACTGAAGGGGAGGAGCCGGGTACATCTGTACAAGACTGAAGGGGAGGAGCCGGTACATCTGTGCAAGACTGAAGGGGAGGAGCCGGTACACCTGTGCAAGACTGAAGGGGAGGAGCCGGTACACCTGTACAAGACTGAAGGGGAGGAGCCGGTACACCTGTGCAAGACTGAAGGAAGGGGAGGCTGGTACACCTGTGCAAGACTGAAGGGGAGGAGCCGGTACACATGTACAAGACTGAAGGGGAGGAGCTCGTACACCTGTGCAAGACTGAAGGGGAGGAGCTGGTACACCTGTGCGAGACTGAAGGGGGCCGGAGGGAGGATTTAAGGATGCCTCTAGGACTGGAAGTGAAGGACGTCACTCAGATCTCACTAATGGGGACACAGACTGCAACTAAAACCCATCACAGTTCTTACCCCTCCCCCCCTCCAGCTGGTGTCGGCTCTGAAGGGGAACTCCGCTCCTGATCCCTGATAACATTGGGAGAATCAGATGCAGAAATATAAAGATGAAGGAAATGCGGCAGAAAATCCCGAGGAGCTCGGACAGGAAATGTTAGGAATTCCTAATGAAAATGGATCTCTTATTGGAACAGATTACCATTTCCTGTATGAGGATCAATATGTACAGAGCAGGCCGGGCCGGGGGCCAGAGAGCCCATTCCTGGACATGGTTCATCCATCACCCCCGCCCTCTGCTGGCACCGCACTCTGTACACCGGCGGCAATGGCAGGCAGAGGACAGAAGGGCGGGCGGACTGCAGGCAGAGGAAGGACAGAAGGACAGAGGCAGAGGACAGAGACAAGGACAGGCAGAGGACAGAAGGAGGCAGGAGACAGGAGGATTGCAGGCAGAGGACAGATGGACAGGCAGAGGAACAGGACAGGCAGGCAGAGGACAGAAGGACAGGCGGACAGCAGGCAGAGGACAGGACAGGCAGAGGACAAAGGACAGGCAGACAGCAGGCTAGGAGGACTGCAGGCAGAGGACAGAAGGACAGGCAGCGGACAGGACAGACGGACTGCAGGCAGAGGACAGAAGGACAGGCAGAGAACAGGACAGGCAGACTGCAAGCAGAGGACAGAAGGACAGGCAGAGGACAGAAGGACAGGCAGAGGACAGGACAGACGGACTGCAGGCAGAGGACAGAAGGACAGGCAGAGGACAGAAGGACAGGCAGAGGACAGAAGGACAGGTGGACTGCAGGCAGAGGACAGAAGGACAGGTGGACTGCAGGCAGAGGACAGGCGGACTGCAGGCAGAGGACAGATGGACAGGCAGAGAACAGGACAGGCAGAGGACAGGACAGACGGACTGCAGGCAGAGGACAGAAGGACAGGCGGACCTGGGCAGGGAATGGACATGGCAGATGGTCCATCTAAATTGTCTTTATTAGTCCCGCAGAGCATTGTGAAGCCGACTATTCTGCTTTCTGCTGCGTCCGTCCTGAAACACGTTGCTGTTTGAGGATCTAATTGCTGCGAATATCTCATTGGAGTGTGATGCTCGGTCCATCGTCCTCGGGGGGCTCCGCTGTACATAGACGGCCATATGTGACCAGATAAATTCCTGGAGCCAAATGGACGACTCATTTAGGCCACACCGCGGCGGGAGAGCCGGAGCTTTACTGCGGCATTACAGAGGAATTTTCCATTTGGAAAGTATTATCCGAGCTTAGCGGGCGATTTATCATAAAGTGCAATTACAGCCATCGTATCGGGGCGGTTCTGACTTGGCCGGAGCCACACCCATTTCTAAAGTAGTCCATGTGCTAGTTGTGCTGCATAGAGATCTGGGCAGATGTCTCGCTAGTCACCTCAAGTCGGAATGACTGTACAATCATGCGATTTCACCGGAAGGAGGAGGAGGCATTTCCTCAGTCTCCCCTCCCCCAGTGATCAGACTGTACATTGTAACTTTGTAGAAGGAGGAGGAGGCATTTCCTCAGTCTCCTCCCCCAGTGATCAGACTGTACATTGTAACTTTGTAGAAGGAGGAGGCATTTCCTCAGTGAATTGAGATTTCCCGCCACTTCCTGTCCTGATATAATAAGTGGGAGGGGCCAGAAGAACGTCGCAAAGAGATAAATGGCTTGGAATGGGTTCTGCTGTCATCTGAGTATCGGCTAATTTGGGGACGTTATTTCTCCACGTTGCTAATCCCAGACAACGCCGACTGGGTGGGCGGGACTCTGCGGTTAAATTTAGGGTGACTGCAGGCGGGCGAGAGAGACGCATTCCTGATTTGTGACACCTGTTGTCGCTCCCCGGGGATCGCCTTCATCTGTTTATTTTACTCCTCTTCACACTAAAATATCTATAAAAAGTTCCTCTCAGTGAAGTTGTTCCTCCGACACCTGTGCCTGCCAGTCAGCGCCAAAACCGCCCAAATTCCACCCAAATGTTCGGAGACGCCGAGACGGCATTTATATCGGAGGAAAGACAACGTGTCCCCCAACGGGAGATATACACAGTGATCCCCTCATGTATACACCAGTCACATCAGTCTCTGGACCAGAGGAGCTTACACTCTCCCCTCTCCCCCACAGTCACATCAGTCTCTGTACCAGAGGAGCTGACGCTCTAAATGTCCCCTCCCCCCACAGTCCCATCAGTCTGTGTGTACCGGAGGAGCTGACGCTCTAATGTCCCCTCCCCCGCAGTCCCATCAGTCTGTGTACCGGAGGAGCTGACGCTCTAATGTCCCCTCCCCCGCAGTCACATCAGTCTCTGTACCGGAGGAGCTTACGCTCTAATGTCCCCTCCCCCACAGTCACATCAGTCTCTGTACCGGAGGAGCTTACGCTCTAATGTCCCCCTCCCCGCCGCAGTCCCATCAGTCCTCTGTACCAGAGGAGCTTACGCTCTAATGCCCCCTCCCCCACAGTCACATCAGTCTCTCTGTACCAGAGGAGCTTAATATATAATATATATCCAGTATCTCCCAGAGTGACTCCACCCAATTAGCCATTTTCCCTCCCCGGTGTCATGTGGACTCGTTAGGTTTACAAGGTCTCAGGTGTGAATGGGGAGCGGGGGGGTTGTACATTTGGTGTTATCCCTCTCATTCTCAGTACTGGTCACTGCAAGTTCAGCATGGCACCTCATGGCAAAAGAACTCTCTGAGGATCTGAAAACAAGAATTGTTGCTCTTCATATAGATGGCCGAGGCTATAAGAAGATTTCCAGGACTGAAACTGAGCTGCAGCACGGAGGCCGAGACCAATACAGTGGTGTCACAGGACGGGTTCCACTCAGAACAGAATCACCATGGTCCACCAAAGGAGATGATTGCACGAGCTCAGCGTCATATCCAGAGTTTGTCTTTGCCAGCATTGCTGCAGAGGGTGTAGGGGGTGGGGGGTCAGCCTGTCAGTGGGGCCAGCATTGCTGCAGCGGGTGTGGGGGGGTTCAGCCTGTCAGTGGTGCCAGCATTGCTGCAGAGGGTGTGGGGGTTCAGCCTGTCAGTGGTGCCAGCATTGCTGCAGAGGGTGTAGGGTCGGGGTCAGCCTGTCAGTGGTGCCAGCATTGCTGCAGAGGGTGAAGGGTGGGTGGGTGGGGGTCAGCTGTCAGTGGGGCCAGCATTGCTGCAGAGGGTGTAGGGGTGGGGGGGGGTCAGCCTGTCAGAGCTTTGACCATACGCCGCACACTGCATCACATTGATCTGCACGGCTGTCCTCCCAGAAGGAAGCCTCTTCTATAGATGGTGGACAAGAAAGACCAGCAGACTGAGGACATGGAGTACTGGAACCGTCTTCTGTGGTCTGATGACACCAACATCAACTGATTGGGTTCAGATGGTGTCAGGCGTGTGTGGCGGCAACCAGGTGAGGAGTACAAAGACAAGTGTATCTTGCCTACAGTCAAGCATGGTGGTGGGGGTGTCACGGTCTGGGGCCGCATGGTGGTGGGGGGGTCACGGTCTGGGGCCGCATGGTGGTGGGGGTGTCACGGTCTGGGGCCGCATGGTGGTGGGGGTGTCGCGGTCTGGGCCACATGGTGGTGGGGGTGTTGCGGTCTGGGGCCGCATGGTGGTGGGGGTGTCATGGTCTGGGGCCACATGGTGGTGGGGGTGTTGCGGTCTGGGGCCGCATGGTGGTGGGGGTGTCGCGGTCTGGGGCCGGCATGGTGGTGGGGTGTCGCGGTCTGGGGCCGCATGGTGGTGGGGGTGTCGCGGTCTGGGGCCGCATGGTGAGTGGGGGTGTCGCGGTCTGGGGCCGCATGGTGGTGGGGGTGTCGCGGTCTGGGGCCGCATGGTGGTGGGGGGTGTCGCGGTTCTGGGGGCCGCATGGTGGTGGGGGTCGATGTCGCGGTCTGGGGCCGCATGGTGGTGGGGGTGTCGCGGTCTGGGGCCGCATGGTGGTGGGGGTGTCGCTCCGCGGTCTGGGGCCGCATGGTGGTGGGGGTGTAACACGGTCTGGGGCCGCATGGTGGTGTGGGGGTGTCACGGTCTGGGGCCGCATTGTGGTGGGGGTGTCACGGTCTGGGGCCGCATGGTGGTGGGGGTGTCACGGTCTGGGGCCGCATGGTGGTGGGGGTGTCGCGGTCTGGGGCTGCATGAGTGCTGCCGGCACTGGGGGGGGGCTACAGTTCATCGAGGGAACCATGAATGCCAACATGTACTGTGACATTCTGAAGCAGAGCATGAATCCCCTCCCCCCAGAGACTGGGCCGCAGGGCAATATTCCAACATAACGACCCCCAAAACACACTCCAAGACCACACTGCCTGGCTGAAGAAGCTGAGGATGAAGGTGATGGACTGGCCAAGCGTGTCTCCAGACCTGAACCCTACTGAGCATCTGTGGGGCCTCCTCAAATGGAAGGTGGAGGAGCGCAAGGTCTCCAACATCCACCAGCCCCGTGATGACGTCATGGAGGAGAGGAAGAGGACTCCAATGGCAACCTGTGAAGCTCTGGTGACCTCCATGTCCAAGAGGGTGAAGGCAGTGCTGGAAATAATGGCGGCCACACAAAATATTGACACTTTGGACCTTGTCACTTAGGGGTGGACTCACTTCTGGGAGGTACTGTAGCTGACATATACCGCAGCGCTATACAGAGATCACTGAGCCAGTCACATCAGTCTCTGCACCAGAGAGGAGCTGACAGCTCTAATGTCCCCCGCTCCCCCGCAGTCCCATCAGTCTCTGCACCAGAGGAGCTGACGCTCTAATGTCCCCTCCCCGCAGTCCCATCAGTCTCTGCACCAGAGGAGCTTGACGCTCTAATGTCCCCCCCCGCAGTCCACATCAGTCTCTGACCAGAGGAGCTTACGCTTCTAATGTCCCCTCCCCCGCAGTCCCATCAGTCTCTGTACCAGAGGACTTCGACGCTCTAATGTCCCCATCCCCTGCTAGGTATGAGTCACATCAGT